TCCGAATTTCTGAATTTCTGAATTTCTGAATTTCTGAATTCCTGAATTTATGAATTCCTGAATTTCTGAATTTATGAATTTATGAATTTCTGAATTTCTGAATTTATGAATTCATGAATTTCTGAATTTCTGAATTTCTGAATTTCTGAATTCCTGAATTTCTGAATTTCTGAATTCCTGAACTTCTGAATTTCTGAATTTCTGAATCTCTGAATTACTGAATTTCTGAATTTCTGAATTTCTGAATTTCTGAATTTCTGAATTTCTGAATTTCTGAATTTCTGATTTTTTGAATTTCTGAATTTTTGAATTTCTGAATTTTTGAATTTCCTGAATTTCTGAATTTCTGAATTTCTGAATTTCTGAATTTCTGAATTTTTGAATTTCTGAATTTCTGAATTACTGAATTTCTGAATTTTTGAATTTCTGAATTTTTGAATTTCTGAATTTTTGAATTTCTGAATTTCTGAATTACTGAATTTCTGAATTTTTGAATTTCTGAATTTTTGAATTTCTGAATTTCTGAATTACTGAATTTCTGAATTTCTGAATTTCTGAATTTCTGAATTTCCGAATTTCTGAATTTCTGAATTTCTGAATTTCTGAATTTCTGAATTTATGAATTTCTGAATTTCTGAATTTATGAATTTATGAATTTCTGAATTTCTGAATTTATGAATTTATGAATTTCTGAATTTCTGAATTTCTGAATTTCTGAATTTCTGAATTTCTGAATTTCTGAATTTCTGAACTTCTGAATTTCTGAATTTCTGAATTTCTGAATTTCTGAATTTCTGAATTTTTGAATTTCTGAATTTTTGAATTTCTGAATTTTTGAATTTCTGAATTTTTGAATTTCTGAATTTCTGAATTACTGAATTTCTGAATTTCTGAATTTCTGAATTTCTGAATTACTGAATTTCTGAATTTCTGAATTTCTGAATTTCTGAATTTCTGAATTTTTGAATTTCTGAATTTCTGAATTTCTGAATTACTGAATTTCTGAATTTCTGAATTTCTGAATTTCTGAATTTCTGAATTACTGAATTTCTGAATTACTGAATTTTTGAATTTCTGAATTTCTGAATTACTGAATTTCTGAATTACTGAATTTTTGAATTTCTGAATTTCTGAATTACTGAATTTCTGAATTTCTGAATTTCTGAATTTCTGAATTTCTGAATTACTGAATTACTGAATTTCTGAATTTCTGAATTTCTGAATTTCTGAATTTCTGAATTTTTGAATTTCTGAATTTTTGAATTTCTGAATTCACTCTAGTTCACTCTAGTTCTAGTTCATTCTATTATTTTACATTTCCTCTCTCTAGAATTCATTATTTATCCATTTGGAATCTGATTATCATGTATTTTAATGTTTTCTTCCTTTTTTTCCACGATTCTTGCAATCGTAAATAAATAAATAAATAAACTAATTCTCTAGAATTTCAAAATTACTTTTTCCATATTTCATCTTCCAAAAAACCATTTTTTTTTCAGAACCGATTTCCATTTTGAAGTGACCAGGCTGATTCAAACGATGAAACCCGATCCGACTCTATTTGAACATGTGGATACATTTTTAAAAAAACTAGAAGATCCAGAAGAAACGATACGTCTAAGACAACATCAAGAGAAAATGCAGGAACAAATGGAATCGTTGAAGCGAGATTTTGCAATAGATTTGGAACTTGCAGAGTAAGAAAATATAAAAAATATAGCTTCTCAACTACATTTTGCACAAAAAATCAGCTTTCTAGGCGCATTTTGAGCCGAGTTATAGCCATTTGAAAATTGGACGAAACGCAGAGAAACGAGAGCACCCTCGTTTCTCTGCGTCTCTCAAAAACTTCAAATGACCATAACTCGGCTCAGAAATATCCTAGAAAATCGATTTTTAGCTCATTTTGTAGACAATTTTATGATTCAAAATTTAAAGAAAGATGCGAAAAACAGAGAATTTGAAAATCAGCCAAATTTGGACAGTGCATGTTTCAACCGCTTATCAATTTTGATCAAAGATGTGTATTTCATAATATTATTGAAACAGAAAAAATTTCAATAATTCACACCAAAAATCAAGTTTCTAGGTGCATTTTGAGCCGAGTTACAGCCATTTGAAATTTTGGGGTGATAGACGCAGGGAAACGAGACACACTGCGTCTCTAACCCCGAAATTTTCAAATGACCATAAGCGGCCCGACATTGTCATAGGAACTTGGGAGATCTCAACGCTCACTCAATTTTCTATCAAAAGTATATATTTCATAATATTATTGAAAACGGAAAATTTTTTTAATAATTCACTGCAACAGCCAATTTATGGTCATTTGAAGTTTTCGAGTCAGAGACGCAGACAACGAGAGCGCTCTCGTTTCTCCGCGTCTATCTCTCTTGTTGAATTACTTGAACTTTAAAGACGCATAACTCGCAAACTACGGTAGTTCGAAGAAAGTTGCCAACTGGGAAAATTTGTATTTCGCGGGCGGCGTTCTAATGGGTTTCTGAACAAAATTTTTAAAATTTCTCGGCCACAACATGATCGCTGACGTCTCTAGAATCTGTTTATCATCGAAAACCTTCCAAATTCTCACGTGTTTGACATTTTTACTAGAGTTCCTCAATTTTTCGAAAATCAATATCCTTATTTTCAGCGCAAACTACAAAAGAAGCATCAAAGAATGTAATGATCGATATGAGAAAGTCAAGGCGCTATGCGACGAGACAATGTCAAAAATGAAAGATAAGGACAGGCAAATAATGGAGTTGAAGATTTCGAGAGATTTAAAAAATCACCAATTGAGCAAGGCGAATAGGGAGTGAGTTTTTTTTTTTCATTGGAACACAAAAAGAATCAAGTTTCTAGCTCCATTTTAAGCCGAGTTACGGTCATTTGAAGTTTGGAGGTTAGAGACGCAGTGTGTTTCGTTTCTCTGCGTCTCTCACCTAGGAAACTTCAAATGACTATAACTCGGCTCAAAATTGAGCTAGACACTTGATTTTCAGTTGGTTTGATAGGAATATTGGTCTCTTATCAGCCAATTTTTGAAATTCAAGGAAGAAGTAAATCGTGAAACAGTAATTTTAATTCCAAAACTACAAAAGATTACAAACTTTTTCATGAAAATACTGTTTCACAAATTAAGAAAAAACTCCTAGAATTTTATTGTAATTTTATTCTACAGAAAAAAAAGAAAATATCTGAAAAAATCGGAAAATATTAATTAAAAAAATACAAGATTCTAAGACAACATCAAGCCGAGTTATGCTCATTTGAATTTTCGAAGTTAGAGACGCAGAGAAAAAGTCAAAAAAAATATTATCTTCAAAACTTTTAAATAAATGTTTTCAGATTTCCTATCAAAATCCACAACCAACGCTCCAAAAATCAAGTTTCTAGCTCCATTTTAAGCCGAGGTCATTTAAAGTTTGGAGGTTAGAGACGCAGTGTGTCTCGCTTCTCTGCGCCTCTCACCTCTCCAAACTTGGAATGACCTTAACTAGGCTCCAAATGAAGCTAGAAACTTGGTTTTCAGTTCATTTTATAGGAGGTAAAATCGAATATTTTCAAAATATAGTTCTGGCAATTTCGAAAATTTTTGCTGTATCAAGAAATATTCAACTTTTTTGGCGGCAGACTTTTGACACTGCTTCATCATAACACATTCAAACACTTATCTTCTTCAGATTCCCAATCAAAAGTCCTATTGGAACAAACCAAAAATCAATTTTCTACAAACATTTTTAGCCGAGATATGGTCATTTTAAAGTTTAGAGCTAGAGACGCAGTGTGTCTCGTTTCTCTGCGTCTCTAACCTCCAAACTTCAAATGACCTTAACTCGGCTTAAAATTGAGCTAGAAAACTCATTTTTGTCGGGATTTATTAAAAATGTGTATATTTATTGATTATGTAAATTTCGAAAAATCCAGAAACTTCAAATGATTATAACTCGGCTCAAAATTGTCCCAGGATTCTAGTTTTCGCTGCATAATATAGCCAAAAACAAATTTTTTTTCTCACATTCAGAGCCGCCAAAATCGATGGAATGGTTTTCATCAACGAGAACTTCCCCCACGTCTTCAATTCGCTGATCTATCGAGACTGTGTGATCAGTGTAATCAATAATCGATTGTGTGTTCTGGAAAAGCGTCAAATGGACGATCATATCCAATATTTGACAATTATTCGGGATATAAAATTGGACATGGTTCGGAAGTATGATTCAGGAAATACTGCACTGATCTCGAAGATCAATAATGAGCATATGCAACATTTAGAGGTAAGATTTTTCAGAGATTTTTGAGATTTTTTGGGACTTTTGAAAAATTTTTAAAAAAATCCAGCGAAAACTGAAGAAAAAATCTGAAACTTCCTAAATTGGGTAAGAAACCGAAAACTGCGTCTCGTTGAAACGCAACGAAAATTTGAATTTCGTAAAATTCTGTTGAAACAGTCAATAATTGTTCCTGATTTTCCTATAGATTCCAATTTTCTGGCTCTAAGCAAAAATTTGCAGCATAACTCATCAAAAATCAATTTGAGCAGAGTTAAGATCATTCGAGGTTTTGGGTGAGAGACGCAGAGAAGCGAGACACACTGCTTCTCTAGCCTCCAAACTTTAAATGATTATATCTACTCTAAAATATAGCTAGAAACTTGATTTTTAGAGTATTTCAGCAGAAAGCCAACATAATAAATTCAGAATCTTTTTTAAAAATTGAAAATATTATTTTGAAACGGTATTGTTTTGAAGAACTTGAAAATTTTTGAGAAATTGAAATTTTTTTGAGTTGGACATATTTTTTTTTCGATATTCTTCCAATTCTATAAAGATATGGTACGCAATGATATGAAAAATCTCAAAGATGATTTTGAAAAAATTATGAAACAGTGAAAAGTTTTGCCTGAAACTTTGAAAAAAAAACTACTTCAGCTTTTTTTTCCAATTTTGAAAATAAGGATTCGAGAAGAAACTGCTTTTTCCCCGGTTTCAGCAGAATTACGATTAATTTAGATATACCGTAAAACCTCTAATAGAACGACACCCGGATCGTCCACTTTGAGCCTATATATCTCACTTCTTTTGAAAGATATCAAAAAGTGGTTAACTAGTAAAATGTTTATCAGGATATCAGCAACATTTTACTAGTCAGCCACTTTTTGATATCTTTCACAGAAAATGAGATATATAGGCTCAAAGTGGACGATCCGGGTGTCGTTCTATTAGAGGTTTTACGGTATTCACATAATGCGTTATGTGAATCTACATGCTTTTCTGCATGTTTTTATTCAATAAAAATTACATTGTCGCACTGGTTCAAATTTTGCTCAATTGGAAATCTTGGGAATCTGGGCGTCACTTTGGACTGTTTTCTGGTCCCAGAAATCCCAGATTTGGCAACTTTGGACGCGCCATTAGAAAAATTTTAGCATTTTTAGCATTTACTTGAAGTTTGATGTAAATGTTTTCAATTTTCATTTATCTTATTAAACCTAAGCGATTGAAATTTTTTCAAAATACAGTTTACTAAGATAATTTTGAGCCAAGTTATGGTCACTCGAAGTTTGGAGAAGTTAGAGACGCAGAGAAACGAGACACACTGCGTCTTTAACCCAAAAAAATTGTTTTTTTCAGAAAATATACAACATTTCCAACAAAACGCACTAAAAATCAATTTTCTAGCACAATTTTGAGCCGAATTACGGTCGTTCAAAGTTGAGGGGCTAGAGACGCAATGTCTCGTTTCTCTGCGTCTCTAACCTCTCAACTTCAAGTGGTCATGACTCGACTCAAAATTGTGCTAGAAACTTGGTTTTTTGTGGTTTTTGTTGGAATTTTTACATATGAATCTAAAAGTACAAAATTTAGGCAAAAATTTCGTCTAAGTGTTTCAATATTTTCAGAACACCAAGTCCATGTTCCACACCTTTGTCCAAACTCAAATTCTCAAAGACGAGTGCGCAAGAAACGAGAAATGGCTGATGGAAGTTCGAAAAACGTTCTACCTCAACGAAGGCGACCTAAAAACATTCGCCGCGAAAGTTCCAAAAACGATAAATCGCCGAATTTTCGGAGAAATCAAAGACGATTCGATTGAAGCGCGGATGTTTGATGTGCAGGCCTGGGCGAAGGAGTGTTTGAGATTCAAACAGCTCAATGATCTACTGATAAGAGAGAAATCAAATCTGGTTAAAGAAATCTCCGAGTTGAAGTTTCAAATTTGGGATAAGGACTATATGATCGCGGATTTGAAGTACCGTATTACGATTATGCAAGCCACTTCGAATGAGAGATTCCAGGTGAGCAAGGCTTTAGATCTTTTGGATTCTAAAATTTTATAGTCTATCGAACAACACGCGTCAATGATTGTTGACTGGCTCAAAATGAAGTTAGCGTTAAATCAACAAGTTGAAGGATCGGAATTAGTTGAGGAGAACGGAAAAACTTTGTAAGTTTTTCTTTGAACTTTGATATTTGAGATTGTAAAAACCAGAAAATATGCAAAACTGCCTACGAAACCCGCTAAAAATCAAGTTACTAGCTTTATTTTGAGACAGGTTCATTTGAAGTTGTGAGGCGCGAGACGCAGAGAAACGAGACACGCTGCGTCTCTCACCTCTCCAAACCTCAAACTGCAATAACTCGGCTCAAAATGATCCTAAAAACTTGATTTTTAGTGCGTTTTGTTGGAAATTTGATTTGAAATTTATAGAGCTTTCTTTGGATTCTTTGAAAACGAAATTCTTGACGATTTTTTACATTTTTTCCCATTTTTAGTGTAACCCAAAAATTTGTTAGTTTACTTACAAAATGCGCTAAAAACCGACTTTTTAGCACAACTTTGAGCCGAGTTATGCTCATTCGAAGTTGTTAGGTGAGAGACGCAGAGAAGAAAAGTACTCTCGTTTCTCTGCCTTTCTCTCTCTCTTTCTCTCTTGTCAATCTACCTGGATTTTTAAGGCGCATATCTCAAAAACTACGGTAGCTGAAAAACTTTCGTCAACTACAAAAATGTCAAAAACTCTATTTCAGACAATATTGTAGTTGACAACTTTTCTCTACAATTCTTAGTTTTCGAGATACGGTAGTTTGAGAAAATTGCTGTTTCGAAAATGTTGTTAGGCACCACAACATAATTTTCAAAATAGATATTTTCTTATTTTTATTGTTGAATTCTCTTCTCCACTCTTATAGAAGTCCATTCCCAAAATTTCAGCGAAAAATATTAGACATCAATACACTGACTTTCTCCTCATTTTTTTTGCGGTGCGCAGAAAAGTGGGCGGGGTTTAGAAGCTTGAAATCCTGCGGCGCGGAAAATTCGACGAGGAAATCAAAGAAAAAGACAATAGACACAAGAGGGATTCGAACTTCCAGCTAATGCAGCTCGCGGCGCGCGCCCACTATCCAGTCGGCCACCGCAGCACTTTTCGTGCAAGCCCTAGAGGGGATAGAGGAAAGGGCGGCTGTTCGTTGCCTGTCGTCTCCTTCCGATGTTGCCGTCTTCCTATTTTTTTAATGAACTGCTCTATGAAAGAAGAGGAAACAGAAGTTTTAGATATGACCGCCACGGTAGGATTTTCTGGTTAAAATTTTATTTAATAGCAAATTTTGCGTATTTTCTTATGGTAGAAAGAAAATCGGAGGCACTCCCCTGTGTCACCATCAAAAATCCCAAAAACCGAAAATTTTGAAAGTTTGGAATTTTCGGATGAGTATTAAAACTACTTAAAAGTAGCCAATCTTTCTGAAAATTGGCACAGGTGTACACAAGACTTAGTTTCACCATAATATGCAAAAAAAAAATGGGGTCATCGCTGAAACTTTTTCTGTATTTTGGCTGGAACTTTGGCTGAAAATTGTGTCACAACCGCCACAGTAGAATTTTGATTTTATTCCGAAATCCAATCTCCCATTTCATAAACTACCAGAATCCATCAAAAAATTTGGAGGCACTAACTTCCATCCAATACTTTTAGTCCACTTTGTCAGTCTGATTCCTATTTTTCGAAGTTTTCGAATCAAAATAATGGAATTAACAAAAAACTGATGGTTCCATTCGATTTTTCGTAGTCGATTACATGGGGACAAGTTTTAACCTTAAAACTAATGAGTTTCTAACGCCCGGTACAAGACTTCAAAGATGGACTTCTGAAAAGGGGAGAAACATTTGGTCGCCCCGCCCCCTTTCATTGCGGCGCCTAGTTATAGTTTTTTGATTTTTTTTTGTATTCTGATTTTGAATTCGTTTATCCATAAACTGAACAACAGTTGTCACAAAATTCATTGAAAATCAAGTTTCTAGAACAATGTTGAGCCAAATGATGGTCATTTGAAGTTTTCTCTCTGCGCCTCTAACCTCCCGTACCTTGGCTTAAAATTGAGCTAGATAATCGGTTTTTAGCAGGTTTTCTCGTTTTAAAAACTTTGAAAACGAAGAACGCTAGAAAATTGTTAGCCCGAAAAAAAAAGTCAATTAAAGGAGGCCAGACACCAAACAAAAAGTTTTCCTGATATTTTGCATAGAGAACCCCCATGAGGGGGTTGAACTCATGACAGGCAGCTCAGGGGTACAGCGCCGCTACCGGCTGAGCTACGGGGGCGCGAAGGCGCCTGACGACCGATAGTCTACATAAGCGCGGCGCGATTTCGTCCCCCGAACTGCCCCCAAAATTTTTGCTGTCTCGCCTCCTTTAATGTTTCAAAAATACTTTTTCTGGATTTTGATCCTCCAATAAATCGAACCGTGGTTAAAATAAATAACATTTCCTACAAAACCGGCCAAAATTCAAGCTCCTAGGACACTTTTGAGTCAAGTTATAGTCATTTGGAATTGCGAGGTCAGAGACGCAGACAAACGAGACACACTGCATCTCTGGCCGAAAACTTGAAATGGCTATAACTTGGCTCAAAATTGAACTAGAAAATTGATTCTTAGCGGGTTTCGTAGCAAAATTTCAAGTTTTTCTAGTTTTCAAAGTTTTGATCATTTGAAGCATTCACTTTCAAGGCAAACATCTCAATAGCAAAAATAGATAAGAAAAATATTACTGTTTCAAAGACACTTTCTTTTGATTTCGATGATCCAATAGATTGATGCGTGATAACGAAGCAAAGTTTCATTGGATTCTACTTGTTTTTGAAATCCAAATTTTGCACCTGATTTTTTGAAAACTCCGATGTAAAAATTGTTTCAAAACATAGACATAATTTCCTACAAAACCCGCCAAAAACCAGAACTCTAGCTCAATTTTTAGCCGAGTTATATGCGTTTGAAGTTTTTGGGGCTAGAGACGCAGTGTGTCCCGTTTCTCTGCGTCTCTAACCCTATTAATTCAAATAACAGTATCTCGGCTACAAATCGAAATAAAACGCTGATTTTTAGTGGGTTTTGTAGGAACTTTTAGGTTTCTGAAATTCCAGTTTTTTCCAGAACCCCTCTCGAGAAGGCTCGCATGGAATACATTCACTGTGAAAGCTGTCTGAAGACCGCTGCAGCAGCCGAGATTGCTCATATGAAGTCTAGAAGAGCTCAAGGACTTCCAGCAATCGATTCTGAAGACACGGATCGTTTAGCGCTTCTGGCCATCCCGTTGGCACAGTGCCAAGCGGCAAAGAAGGCGTTGATTGGAATTGTGAATCAGGAGATTAAAGTGAACACAGATACCGTATACAAAACGAATTGGGATTTCAAGCAAGCAGTGGAGGATAGAATAACTTTGGAGAAGGATAAGGAGATTCGAGAGTTGAAGGAGAACTTGGAGGAAGTTTCTGGAAAGCTGGAGAACTGTGAAAAGGAGTTGAAGAAGAAAAACGAGCATATCGACATTGTCGAAGCGATTTATATCAATAATCGATATGGTGGACCACGAGTTCAGGTGTCCGCTGGAAGAATGTGATTTAGAAATCAAAGTATCTAATGTTTGAGCAGAAATACGTAAAAAAAAAACCAAGTTGCTACGTAGATTTTGGACTTTAAGTCGAGTTATTAGCATTTGAAAAAATTACCGTACATCCGGTTACATTCGGTTTGATTGTTGTTTTTTGGTTTTTCATAGAATTTTACAATTATTCTTTTTATTCTGTCTGAAAGCCTTTAAAATTTGATTCATAATGGACAAAAAATCAGTTTTCTAGGGCGATTGTGAGCCGAGTTATGGCAATTTGAAGTTTTGAGAGACGCAGACAACGAGAGAGCTCTCGCCTCTCGGCGTCTCTCATCTCTCCAAACTTCAAATGACCATAACTCGTCTCAAAATAGTCGTAAAAAGCTGATTTTTAGTGCGTTTTGATGGAAATTTAATTTCAAATTTTATGCGCATAATTTTGAATTTTTGACAAAAAACATTATTTTTCAATTTTTCAAATTATTTTCAAAACTTTTTTTTTTAACTTTTCGATTTCACCAAAAAAACAATATCAAAATTAAAACTCAAAACGCTCAAAAAACCAAGTTCCTACCTCAATTTCGAGCCGAGTTAAGGTCTTTTAAAGTTTTCGAAGTGAGAGACGCAGCGAGACGAGACACACTGCGTCTCTGACCTCGCAACTTTAAATAGCCATAACTCGGCTCAAAATTGCCCTAGAAAGATTATTTTTAGTGCGTTTTGTTGGAAATTTTATGTAGTTTTTGAAAAATTCAAATTGAAAACTGTTTTATCCTTTTTTTTTTCCTTTGCTTAGTTCCTTCTAAAATTACTTATTGCTCTTCATTGCTCATAGTCAGTTGTATTGTTTTCTCTCCCAAATTAAAATTCCAAAAAAAGACATTCCCACCCCAAATTTGTAAAAATTCTCTTTCTTGTCACTTTTCCATGTTCTATTTTTTCCAAAAATTCCGGTACAATTTTTTTCATTTCTCTGCATTCTTTTTTCAAAACCATTTCCATAATTTTTTACTTTGTATAAATAAATGATTTTTTTTAATTACTATTTTTCGGAATCTTGATTTTTTGGTACCATTTTGGATCCAATTTCATTATTTCAATATGACTTTAAAATAGGAAAAATTCCCGAACTTTCCAGAAAATCAAAAAGAATCCAAAAAAATGGAGTTGGCTGAAATCAACAAAAAATTGGACAAATTATTGTTGGAGAATAAGTGAGTAGTTCTTCTAAAAGAATTGGACCCAGGACCCAGGACCCAGGACCCATGACCCAGGACCCAGGACCCAGGACCCAGGACCCAGGACCCAGGACCCAGGACCCAGGACCCAGGACCCAGGACCCAGGACCCAGGACCCAGGACCCAGGACCCAGGACCCAGGACCCAGGACCCAGGACCCAGGACCCAGGACCCAGGACCCAGGACCCAGGACCCAGGACCCAGGACCCAGGACCCAGGACCCAGGACC